TTGCAATTGTAATTCATTTCCATTAATCCCCTACTGAGTGAGAATTAGGACACTTTCTTTCCTTGCTTGGATTTAATGTCTGTAGGTCATGTGACCTGCTGACCCAGATCTGACACCGGGTAACTAGGATTCTGTGTGATACCTTCCCAGCCTTAGATGGCAGTGAGAGACCGACAAGGAAACAAAACTCCTGCTGGCTTGTCCTGGAGGGCAGGGAAGTTTTGGCTGGAATTTGTTTTCCACTTATCTATGGGAGAGAAATTGTTGTTCCTGTATGAAGATTGGCCTGTATCCAGTTTTGAGACTGCACAGCAGCTAAAAACAGGTACTGTGATTCACGGAAGGATTGAAAGGGGAAGACATGAAGGTTATATGTGCATTAATACTGCATCACTCATAGACCTTCCATCTTGACAATAGTGCTTACCTTTTTCTGCCCCAGGATTTATTAATTTGATCATTTTTGTGTAGTAGCAAACATGTACCGTTCATGTTAAATGGTACATTTATTTTAGGTGTTGCAGTAACTAAGCCACTATTAGCACTGTGGGAAATAATAAAGTAGATTTTTTTTCTGTATTGAAATATTGTAAATACTAGAGTCCTGACTGCTTACAGATCTATTGATAGAAGAAGAAAAATCTTTGATTATATAGCTGCAATTGGATATCCCTCTTTGCTTAAAAGTAAAAGTAATGGATAGTTATTGATTATGCTACTCATTATGGTCGACATTTATTCCTTTTGTTTAATCTTTCCCAGGAAGAAGTCATTTTCTTACTATATAAATTAATGTTTGGGCTTACTGCAGAGCACCCAAAAGGTTCTAAATTGTGATAAACCTACTCTCTGTTTTAAGGCTAAATTGGACGCGGGAGGATTAATCTTAATTTACAAAGCAGTCTCTATTGGAAAGAGAATAAAAACCTTTCCTCTTGAAGAATACAACAACTTTCTCTATTGCCTCAGTGTCCTGGTGCGTCCTCTGTCTCATCATGAGATGAGGCAGTAAAGATAGTGAGCGACTTTCCACCAGAGGATTACAGAGCTCACCAAAAACTGCTTAAAAGGGTGCTCTTGGTTTTAGATGCTCAAGTGGAAGAGGTTTGTGAGAAATCTCACAGGCTAGTGGACGTTTTAGCTTCTGTGGGAACCTCCAGAGTGGCACTTACGGTTAATGAAGCAATTCTGAAGCCAGTTAAAATGCTTTGGCAGACCCCGCCTTCTGTCCTGCCTATGGCACAATGGGCAGAGATGAGATACTATGTCCCTCTTAAGGGCTTTGACCATATTTACTCTCACCCACCCCCAGGCTCTTTGGTTGTGGCAGCAGCTAGTGAGCAGGAGAGGCAGGTTACCAAATGTCGGTGACGAATAGTAAGGAATCAAAGAGGCTGGACCTGGTTGGTTGTAAACTTTTATTTGACAGGAGGTCTACAGCTACAATTTTCTAACCAGCGAGTTTTCCTGAGTTGCTATGACTTTGCCCTGTGGGAAGAGATCATACATTTTAAAGACAGGCTACCAGAGTACTCCAGGCAGGAGTTCACTCTCGTGCTAGAGAGTAAGGTGGTGACAAGGATTGCTCTTCAGTGCAGTTTGGATGCAGCAGACTCAGCAGCTCATTCCATGGCATCCGCTATTTCTGTGAGGTGGTGTTTGTGGCTGCAGTCTTCTGGTCTCTTTCCTGAAGTACATCAGACCATCCAGGTTTTACCATTTGAGGGTCCATCCCTCTTTTTAGAAAAGACAGATGATAGACTGCATAGCTAACAAGATTCCAGGGCAACAATGAAGTCCCTTGGAATGTAAACACTGGCAACGAAGAGGAAGCAATTCCAGCCACAGTAGGCTTACAGATATCAGAGCTTTATATCTCTGCCTCAATATCCCCTGAGAAAAGGGGACAGGAATTACAGGCGGTGACCACTGCCCCCTTTATCTGCAACATCAGATTCCTCTTGACCAGCAGAACATGCATTTTGATGGCCTTTTTAGAGAGCAGTGTACAGGTAAATATATTCCTACCTGTTCCTTTTGTCAGTCATTTATCCTGCTTCCTCCGTGCTTGGACTCCCATCGCATTGGATCAGTGGGTCCTAAGCATGATGGAGCTGGGATATTCCTTTCAATTTACTTCTATGTCCTCTTCCCCTCCCTCTTTAGGGGCCATTCTCACACGACCATTCTTCAGCGGGCAGTCCAGAATCCCCTTATAGCAGGAGCAATAGAGAAAGTTGTTGTATTCTTCAAGAGGAAAGGTTTTTATTCCTGCTATTTCTTTATTCGCAAAGCAAAATATGGTCTGACAACTATTTGAGATCTAAGAGAGTTAAACAAGTACCTGAAAAAAATGTTCTGCATAGTTACCCTAGTTTCCATCATTCCTTCCCTGGAACAGGGCGACTGGTATTCTGTCCTCAACTTAAAGGATGTTCCATATAGCGATCCATATAGACCAGTGCAACTTCCTCAGGTTTGAGGCAAATGGAACACAGTGCACGTTTGCCTCAGACGTCTGTGGCACATGGCAGCATATACTTCTATGGTGCAACAAGCCAGACTACATATCAGAAGGTTTCAAGGATGGTTAGCGTCAGTGTATGCTTCCTTTCGTCATTGTCTAGACAGTCATTTGCATTTCAAAGGTAATTTTGTCCTGTCTAGATTGGTGGACCTCGAACATTTGTGCAGGAGTTCCCTTCGTTTCTCTGTAACCAACACTCATTTTGGTCATGGAGACATCATCCCTGGCTTGGAGGCCACAAACTGAAATCCTGCAAACTCAAGGGTCGTGGTCGTTGCATGATCTGAGTACTCATAAACATCAGGGAACTACATGCTATTTGTCTGGCCTGCTTAGCCTTCTGTGCATGTATTCCAGGAAAAAATCTGTTAGTGTTAACAGCCAATATAGAAAATGTTTTATATAAACAGACAGGGAGGGGCGTATTCCTCCCAACAGTGCCAGAAGGCAATTCTGCTTTGGAACTCTGCATACCCAACTCCATTTACCTCAAACCTGCTTACCTCCCAGGAGAGCAGAACACATTGGCAGGTCCTTGAGCGGGTCCTTCTTTCCTCCCTATGAATGGTCACTACATCCAGACATGAGCAGGTCTACCTTCTAGCTGTGGGAAACTCTGCAGGTGCGCCTGTTCACAACAAAGGTCAACAGAAAATGCCATCTGTTCTACTCCCAGAGGGGTCACAGCCTTGGGTCTTTGACAGACACTGTCCTGCTCTCATGAACCCTGCGTATGCCTTTACTCTGATAACATTACTACCCAGAGTCATATTCAAGGCCAAGCAAGATCATGCTTGCCTCATACCAATAGCACCAGTGTGGCCTCAACAACACTGGTTCTGAACCCTGTTAGCATTGTTAGTGAGGTCTCTTCTACTGCTCCCATTAGATTCAGACATGATTTCTCAGGACCATGACCGTCTGCTCCATTCCCATCTGCAGGCCATCAGCTTGACGGTGTGGATGCTTCATGGCTAGCCCCACTAGAAATGATGTACTTGAAAAACGTTCAGGAAGTGCTTCTGAACAGCAGAAAACCTTGAACAAGGCATACTTACCTGGCCAAATGGAAATGCTGTTTTATCAGGTCTCAGCAGAGAAGTCTCTCTCCAGGGCAGGCTTCCATTAAGCACATTTTGGCACCTGCAACAGTAATGCCTTGACAGTTCTCATTAAAGTACATTTGTGATTGTAACGTTCCACTCTGCAGTGAGTAGTTACGGAGCTGAAAAAAAGATTTACGCTCTGATTTCAAAAATGGTTGGATAGGTTATTTCTTCCAGTGCAAGAACCCCATGGGATCTCAATCTCATGCTAACAAAATTAATGGGGCCTTCCTTTGAACTTCTTATGACTTGCCCCCTACTCCACTTCTCTATGAAAATGGTGTTTTTGGTGCAATAACCTCAGCCAAGAGAGTGGGTAAATTGGGAGCCTTGGTTTCAGAAGCTCTTTACATGGTTTTTCATAAGAATAAGGTTTACCTCCACCATCGCCCAAAATTCTTGACAAAAGTAGTTTTCAATTTCCACATTCATCAGGCAATTTATTTGCCAACATTTTTCCAGAAGCCTCATGTGCATACAGATGAGCAGAAGTTTCATTCATTGGATGTGAGAAGAGCTTTGGCCTTCTACTTGGACTGCACCAGACGCTTTACACAGTTATTTGTTGTGGACAGTTATTTGTTGTTTCAGCCTTGACAAAGCCCTGGCTGGGATGATTTAACTCGGAATTGGTCCTGCTTCGAGCAGGGGGTTGGACTGGATGACCTTCAGGGGTCCCTTCCAACCCTGATATTCTATGATTCTATGACAGCGTGAAAAGCAAACTGGTTTCCACGCTGGACTTCCTTCTGGATTTTCTCTTGCATTTGTTTGTGCTGCTAGTTAGCTAATGTCACACTACCCCTACAGTATCAGCTCATTCGACCACAGTGCAAGTGGCTTCAGCAGCGTTCCTAGCACAAGTACTTATTGGAGACATTTGCAAAACAGAATTATGGTCATTAGGGTACACGCTTTTGCTGCTCATTATGCCATTTCCCATCAGTCCAGGAACAATGCTAGTTTTTTGGACGTTTGTTCTACAATCACTGTTCAGAAAGACTGCAAACCTGCCTCGATGCCACAGACTCAATGTAAAGCTTGAGAAATGTTTTTACATGTTAACATGCAGCTACATCTGTTTCTGTAGTATAGTATCAAGTGGGTCTAAAATCAGGAATAGCATAATTTGACTAAGCTCAATATGGGGGGGGGAGTTGGAGAGAGAAAGCAGGGAAGTTTAATTTTACAAAGGTTTCCTGGATTTCAATTATGGCTTATTTCTGTATTTACACTTTACTGTATGTACTGTATAAACAACCTTTTCCTTTTACAATAGGTTCTAAAATTGTATGGCTATTTATTAATTTATTCATACAAGCATTTTTTCTTTCCCAATTTCTTTCCTCTTCCCCTTTTTCCTGTAGATCTATCAGGTCCAAAAGGTAGGGTTTGTCTGATCTCTTGCATTATGATTTGCATGCATTTCTTTGTCACATCAGGGGCCTTGATACCATTTCAGAAATAAAACCCTTCAAGAACGCATGGTACACAGCAGGTTTTTTTTTGTGTGTAACTATCCCTAACTATTAGGTGGTCTCCATACCCTAACTGTCCCTCCTTCACCCCAGCTCTGAGAGTTCTGCTGGTAGTTAAGAAAATGTGCTTAGTCAAACATTTTAAAACAACCCTCTCCCCTGTCAAACACGCTCTTTGTAACTGCAGTATCTTTCTAGCTCATCTCATAATTTCAGATTATTCCCTCCCACTGGTTTTCATGTAAATGTTCAGTGTAGTCAGCGAAAGATTAATCTGGCAAATCAGGCATAATGTGAAACTGTGTGGTGGCTTCATGTGTCATAAACTGTACAGCAGTTTGTGGAATGAATGCAAAAATTACAATTTTTAATGTTTATAATGGTAGTAACGGATCATCAGCAAGTCTTCATGTTATGTCAAAATCTCAAGCTGTACAATACTTGCTGTGCATGAACCATGTAGCACCTTAACGGAAAAATTGTTTTAAAAAAATACTTTGTTATCATAGTATCTGGGAGAAGAAGGAAATCCAAGACTATATAAACCTGCTGTCATCCACCTTATTTAATAAATGATCCTTCTGAGCCTCTTACCTTTCATTGAACCATAAGTGTCTTCTGAAAATCAAACTCTGGTTTGCTTTGACCTGTCACTCTCTGGTGTGCTTTTGACCTATCCTTTGTTGCATGTTTCACTGGCTGACCATATAGTGTAGAGTTTTGAAAGTGCTGTTATACTCTGAAAAGTGAGTATGTAAAACAGACACTTTTTTATTGAAATGATCTGCTATCTGTTCAGAGTAATAGCTTGATTACTTCAGTGACAAAAAATAAATTTTAATCTCCATTATCCTTGCCGAACCAACTCTGTTTTGGGAGAGCAAGTTGAATTTGGTTTCTGCCTGCATGTCAACAGATTTGTTAAGTAAGTCCCAATTATGGGATAATATTAACACTTAGTTACACTACATATGTACATCCCTATTAGAGGCATTCTGATTGTGCAGCTAGGACAAGATAAAATTTGACCTTCAGAATCATTACTACATGAACCAGGAACTACCTGGTTTAACTTTCAAATCCCATCTTTAGTGTTTAAAAATGTGCCAGTTAGTTTTTCCTAACTCTTATAAACGGAGTAAATTTGATCTGGAATCACTGGCAGATGTTAAAACTGGAACCTTGCAATGCTATTTAATGTCACTTTTCTGACTAGAACAGCACTTGAAGCTTGCAATAGCATACTAACTAAAAAGATCAAATGAATGAGTAAACATAATTTTTCTTCCTGAAAGTGTCCTAGAATTACTTACCATTTGTAAGAGAAATCTGCAGGGAAACTAGATAATAGTCAACTTTGAATACTTGAAGAAAGAGACTTGATGTAGTTGGTTTGGCAAATGTCTAATACTTTTACATATTTAAAAGACTACTAAATATTTTCAGTCAATATGAGGTGATCCTGTTTATGTCAGAGCATTTTATAAATTAAAGACTAGAACCTCTAAGGCACTCAATAGCCTTTCTTTCATCAGTGGTATTAAACCTTGTAGCTTTAGGTGGGTGGAGGAAGGGAAGGCACAAAGGAGAACTGTAAACTGCCAGGAAGTAAATTTGAGAAACATTGAAATCTTCTATGGATATCTCCTTGGCCTTGTTCACAAGACTGAATTCAGAAGTGTGCAGAAAGCATGGTTCACAAAACATTGAGCATATTGTTAATTTTATTTATAGACGCTTCCTATGTAAACACAATGGCTTGTATTTTATTTTCATGGAATTTTTAGGTTTGAATTACATAATTTAAATCAATCTGGTTACCAGACAAAATTGCAAGCAAATTGTTTTGGAGGAAATGTGTATTTTAATCAGTTTACCTGTCCTGACTATTACAAAGCAAAATTTGTAAGTTTTACCAAACAGGACTCTGCAGTTTTCTAAATCAGTGCATTTATTTACAGGATTGGGACCTTCCATTATATTTAATTTTGGGGTAGGTTGTCATATTCCAGTTCTACCTCAGCACTTGTGATGAGATGCTTAAAGCATGGAACTATGGTCAGTTGCTGAAGAAAGAACAAGAAATAGTACAAATGAAATGAATTAAGCCCTACCTTGAAGTACACTTTGGATTCTTATTTCTTTATGGCTAAGCAGTGTCTGAACATTGCAAGAGGTTTCTGAGCCCATGCTTAAATGCTTTGTGGAAAAGAGAAGCAATAACTTACTTGCTGAATTTTAAACATGCAAGTAAATTACCTTGCTGAATAAGAGTCTTTTTCTTTGTTGTAGAAACACTATTGCATAGTGCTTTAAACATATAAAGCACTAAATAAATGCTCTTATTTTTAATTATTTTAAAAATGTTTTATTTAAATGACAGTGACTGCTTTTGGAAGCTTATATTCTAATATTTTTCATACTTGTATAAGACTGCAGTAAGCATCCATCCACCTATTCTCAATTGTTCCTCCAAGCCAGTGGTATCTATCAAGTTAATCATGTGGTTTTTGTCTGCTCGGATTCTCCAAAACAGTAAGGTTTTTAAGGTCAGGCTTGACAAAGCCCTGGCTGGGATGATTTAACTGGGAATTGGTCCTGCTTTGAGCAGGGGGTTGGACTAGATGACCTTCTGGGGTCCCTTCCAACCCTGATATTCTATGATTCTATGATTCAAACTGAGTAGTCATGTTTATGATCTCCTTTGTAAAGCACTGCTTTTCTCCTTCCAGGGAGCTCGCCAGATCACCCCCTTTGGTTTGAAGGCCCAATTAGGCGAGATGTTTGTAATCTGACAGAATTAGACAAGGAAAGCCAACAAATGTCTCTTTCCCAAGTTTTCTCATATGCAGATTGCTTTAGGAAGTAAGGTGAATGAAACTGTTGCAATTGAGTTGATGCTAAACACTGAGTTATACCATAAAGACTTCCAGTTCTTGAATGTTTAACTTAAAAGTTATGGGATCTAAACAAAATAGGAAGCCATGCTCTTAAAAACAATTCCCTGTCTCCCTCTCAAAGGCACTACCAACAATGCAGGTACAGGCAAAGATTAGATGTGGGCTTATTTACAATAATATGAATCCTTTTGAGGAGAATATTAGTCAAATAAATTGTTCTGATGTACATCTTCCTCCGAAATACGAATTAATTACTCCTTGTTTCCAGTGATTCTTCTTTATAGCAGTAATTTTTTAATTGTCATAACTTTCACAAAGTTTGTCATACTATTTTGTGTTAAGTAGACTTTCAGTAACCCCCCAAAATAGAGTTTTTAATAGTGTTTATATGGGAAGAAAAAACCTGAAATGTTAGTTTACTGAACTCTGAAGCACTTCTTGTCTAATCCAATCACAAAATCAGTAGGGTTACTCCAGAGTTGTTATGCAAAGAAAATATGAACCAAGAAACTGAAGGCTTTCTTCCTGGAATGTATATGTGTTATTTGGTACTGAGTGGGTGTGGGCTTTCCAGACCTTACCCTCCACCTTTTGTGGTTCTGCACATCCTAAACTGTACTGCAGGTTCCTTATAATGTGTAACCTCTTGCCATTCATGATTTTGTACCACTTTCATGATGATGGAAGTTGTGAAAAAGCCTATTCACATTTTGAAAAGGATCTTTTAAGAATTGTTCATTTTCATAAGAGTACATGGAGTTTAACTCTATTTTAATCACTTTGTCCTCCTTCCAAGTGTACAAATCCATGGTTTGATGGAACTTTTCATCCTGGAAGTGTTATGTACTGTCCCCTTGTAACAAGTCTTGACTGACCTGGGTCAGGAACCCAAGGCTCATTACACCCTTTCTCACTCCTTTGCCCACAGCTTTGCTTATGATTGTCTGATTTAAAAACAAAGCAAAACACTTTTCTTCTTTACAAGGAAACTTGTTTCAGGCATGCGCTGCTTTTCACAGTGGCATCAAGGAGCTGAGTCACACTCTGCAATTTTCAGCTTTGCACTGGCGTGTTTGTCTAATCCTTGAGCATGCGTGTTTCAGTGTGAGAGACTGACTGTGGAGCTCGGCAGAACCATGGCAATGCACGTCTCAAAGTTCAGTGCTTATCTGTCTCATCTGAATTCTGTTTTTCCCTTTTCTGTCTATAGAAATATTATGGTCTGGATACAAAGTGGGGTGACATCGAGCAGTGGATGGTAGGCCTTGATCAACAAAGCTAAAAATAATTTTACCATTGAAATCTTGTACAGCTTACAATTTTTGAGATTCCATGGGACAGGTATATTGCTATATTTGAAGAATCAGTTTCCAGTCTTATGAAGACTGTTTTGAACTTTGCATCTAGAGTATTGCTTACTTGTATTTTTGTTTGTAGTCAGTTTGAAGGGTCTAATATATAGGATGGTCATAACATAAGATTGAAATAGTTGCTAAAAATGGATTTCTTGATTTAAAAGCACACACAAAAATTCGCTTTAGACCTGGAAAAAAGTTGTTTTTTTCTTCTGGTAACTAAAACAATTGCTAAAACAGACCAGATTTGGTTTCAAATGTATTTATTTCAGTTTTTAAAAAGAAATTATTCTTTGATCCTTAGTTTATAAAGCCATTCACTAGTTAGGGACTGGAGGCAGGGCTGTTGTTCCCAGGTTGGTCTTTTTGGGTATCCCGACCTGGTAACATGAGTTAGTGTCTGGAAATTTTTGGCTTGATTCTTGAAATCCTGATCCATTTCCCCTGTCCCCCCAGCCACACACTTTCTTGGATTACACTCCCACCATTGTCAGGGTGACGTACCATCCAGACTAGGTGAGGTTCCTCATTGTGTTTGAGGACAAAAGGGACCCCCAGATCACTTAGTCTGGTCTCCTGCTCATTACAGGCCACTAAACCCCACCCCATTACCCCTGTGTTGAACCTACTGATCCGGATTAGATTCAAATATTACAGCCCTCAGGAGACTAAACTATTGTGTGCCACAGGCAGAGAATAGAAGGGTCTGAGGTACACCAGTGCCCAAGGCCTTGGCAAATGCAGGGAATTGATTTAGTGTGGGCTTGTCTACACTTTAATTTTATAGCGCTCTAACTTGCTGGCTCAGGGGTGTGAAAAATCATCCCCTGAGCTTAGCAAGTTTGAGTGCTTTAAAGCACTAGTGTGGACAGGCTCCGAGCTCTGGGAGCTGTGCTCCCAGTGCTTGGAGCTATTCCCCTCGTGGACGTGGATTACCAGGAGCGCTGGGAGACTCTCCCAGCGCTCGTGCATGACCACACTCACACTTTGCAGCAGCACTTTGAAGTTTCTAGATGTAGATGTAGCCTTAGTTATACCCAGAGGATCCTAGCTGGTGACCCCTACCCCACGTTGCAGAGAGGCAGAGGCAAAAACAAAATCAAGGTCCCTGTCTCTCTGACGTGGAGGAAGTTCCTTCATCACCCTGAAAATGGAGATCAGTCTGAGCATGTGAGCAAGACCCACCTGCCAAACCTGATGATACTCCCTTGAGAGCTCACAAGTCAGCCTTTTGTCACTTCAAAACCTTGCATGCTCCACAGAGAGAGCAAGAGCTCACTATCTCTAGTGCTTCCCAAATCCAGAGCTTAGTTTTAATGGGCAGAACGCTAACCACAGAATATTGAAGCTTGCTTGAAAACCAACAAATTTAAACAACTCACCTGTGGCAAATATAATTGTATAACACGTACGTTTATTTTTCATTCTACTTTTTAGCCATTGCTAAATAGTGTTAAAACCATTTTGTTGAAATTTAGTGCATCCTACTACATTGTCAGTGTTCCAAGTTCCCATACAAAGCAATGTATAATACAGCCCAGTTACTGGAAGTAGGATATAGATTCTTTTAGCTTGTTGGCAAAGGCCATGTCTTTCAGTCAAATCCACATTAAAAGGTGGATTGCATTCTCATTTTTACAGGGTAGAGAATGCCATTCAAATTGAAGACTTCTTTCTGAGGGAACTATAGACTAGAAAGCTTTCTTTTAGCTACAGGCTCTCAGACCCACTAGGGTAGTGCATTTAACTGTCTTAATCAGTGTGTTTGCACTGTGAATGTCTAGGTATTAATAAGAGAGACAAGCAGAAACTTCTTTGAATGAGACAAGCTTTCAAGCTCTTCTTAGGGACACTGGGGAGCTCTAAAGGTTGTCTCCATAGGCACTGACTACATGGGTGCTCCAGGGCTGGAACACACACGGGGAGAAAAAAAAAAGGTGGGTGCAGAGCACCCACAAGCAACCACCCTATCAGCTCTTTCCCTCCCCACAGTGCCTCCCACTGGCCGGTGGCCCTGCTGATCAGCACCTCCCCCTCCTGTGGTGGGCAGGAGGCATGGGGAGCGGAGGCAGGACGAGGCAGGGCACGGGTGGGGCCTTTGGGAAGGGGTGGAGTAGAGGTGAGGGGTCTGGGGCAGAGCCGGAGGGGAGCAACCCCGGGCACGTTAGAAAGTCGACATGTATGCTTGTATCTTTCACCAACAGAAGTTGGTCCAACTAAAAGATATTACCTCACCTACCTTGTCACTCTCATATCCTGGGACCAACATGGCTAAAGAAAACAATGCATATAACTTGCCATTGTATTTTAGAAATGTATAGTAGTGAAGAATGGGCTGGGATGAAGGAAGGAGGACAGGTATAGGGAAATAGCAAGTTCTCATTTTTTTTCCTCAGTTGCCATAGTGCATCATCTATCATTATCAGATTAAACCTTGCTAAATCCAGCTTCCTTCTTAACACTGAGGTTTCATTTTTTCTAACTGAAGGCTTTGTTTTACTATTTCTGTCCTTTCAACATTTCACTCTTATTTTCTCTGCTGCTTTGATAGGAAGACAGTGAGCGTTATTCTCGCAGATCCAGAAGAAATGCCTCGGTTAGTATTTTCTTTTGTGCATTCTTCATACATATTTACGTACGTCACTTGCAGCACGCTGGCAGTGTCTCTTTTAAAACCAAATGTATTTACTGTTAATTTTGTGCAACACTTCATGCCTCTCTGCAAAGAATTCTGGTGAGTTTTTGCAAATTAAAATCCAACTCTTTTGCACAAGTGAACAATGAACCTGTTTGTTTTGCATGAGCCAGACATGGCACAAAGAGGAGTTGTACAAGCTCCTAACCTGTTCAGCCTGTAGGGGAATGCTTTAGAACTTCCTTTGTATTGCCTGAAAATGGTCCAATGTTTGACGTGGCTCTGTTATATTTACTCTTATGTTTGTTGCCTAATATAAAGGAAACGTGTACTGGGCAAGCCTTTAAGGAGTTTAGCACAAAATCTTTTCCTCCCTTTGGCTTCTGTTAATTGATTCTATCAGTACTTGTTTCATTGCTTGTTATCTGTATTCTTTTAATTGTTTCTTGTCTCCTACACTTTCTCTTCAATAGGCTTCAGATGAAGATGAGCGCATGTCAGTGGGTAGCCGTGGAAGCCTGAGGGTTAGTAACTTGTACAATTACGTGCATGATTTTTTTTATTGATGTTGCTGTTCTCCCACACCTTGCAAAAGTTTCTCTGTACCCTTTCCAGAGAGAGCTCTGATAATTTCTTGTCTCCCAAACCTCCCAGTTTTCTACATTATAGCCTTATACTTGAGGCCTACATTGAAGCCAACAGTTCCTTCATCCAAGGAGAACTGGATAGGTGTGTCAGTTTCATAGACATTAAATTGTAAATATGAATATAAGTAAAGTATAAAATTGCGTAGAGATTTTTTTTCTGCTGAATGCTCTCTTCACTAATCACTGGGGGAGGTATTTAGTCAAGATGTGGGTCTACAGAATTTCCTCTTGCATGGATCTTTTTAAGCTGTTCCAGCATTAGTGACCATATGGAGCAATCTGAGAAATGATGCAGCATTCACTCCGTTGGGTGTTAGGGGTGAGGGGTCACAGTTTAGAAACTAAATGTAAATCAGCTGATGGAAAGCACGTCAGTTCAGTGTTCCTGTGAACCAGTATTAATACCGTTCTTAGCTGGTCTTTTTAAATAGCTTGGGGATCCAGGTGACTTCTTCCTCAAAGCTGGCATTATTGAGATGTTTGGAGCCTGTCTCCTCCCAGAAATGAGACTGGGCACTAAGGAAGGATCACTGGGCACAGGAGCTCACAGTCACTTAGGTCCAATCTATATGAGATAAATTTACCATTTAAGAAAGGTAATATCTTCCTAGTATATCTGAAAAACACTTTGTCACATACAAAATAGCTCCAACCAGTATACATGTAGGTACATCAAACTGCTTCACTCTGTACCATTCCAGTGTGCACCATTTTAATTCCAGCGTGGACCAAATTAGCTCTCATGACAGTGCACATGGTTGAGAGAGTCTCTCCTGCTACTGTCCCATGGTGCACTGATTGTCTTTTGAAAACTCTTACAATTCTGTAGCTTATGGGGTGGGTACTCAGAGGCCATTGCAACTGAAATGGTCTAGAGCAGTACTAGTACTGACATAGGGCAATAGTGCAACAGTTTGGAACATGAATTAAGAGTGGGCACATAGAATCGTTTGTGCCTAAGCCAGTTCTGTTGTTCTAATGCAGACAGAATCTTAAGGCAGTTAACAATAGCATTAGTTTACCTCTTTAAGATTGCTATCGATCAGTGGTTCTCAACCAGGGACCTGGGGGCCCATCAGCAGGTTTCAGGGGGTCTGCCGAGCATGACTGGCTTTAGACTCGCTTGGGCCCAGGGCAGAAAGCTGAAGCCCTGTCACGCAGGACTGCAGCCTGGTGCGCTGAGCCCCACCACCTGGGGCTGAAGCCAAAGCCTGAGCAACTTAGCTTCATGGTGCCCTTTGTGATGTGGGGCTCCAGGCAATTGCCCTGCTTCCTACCGCTTGATGTTGGAGAAAAAAAAATTGTTATGGTACAGGGGGGCTGTGGAGTTTTTATAGCATGTTGTAGGGAGCCTCAGGGGGAAAAAAGGGTTGAGAATCCCTGATATAGATTATTCAACTCAGGCAAATTAAGAGTATATATTTTAAAGAATGATCCACATCCTTAATCCTAGCTTTTACCATTTGCAGAGAGGTTTCATGCAGCTCTTGGAAGATCCTGTAATTATTTACTCAACTAAGAGTTGATGTTTTTTTTCTTTCTGGAGGAATATCCCGAGGAACTGTTGAATGGAATGGTCTTATTTTCCTCTAAATAGTTTTATATTTATGTGTAAAAGGCCTAAAATTCTACCACTGGGGAAACAAATTGAATGAGTGATTGCTAATTAAATTCCCATCTTTTAATGGACATACAGTATATCTTGTACTATGAGTGTCTCATTCCCTTTTTGTGTGACATCTATATACTAGTCATGATATGACATTGGTTTTACTGAAACATTCCCACCTCCTGGAATTGGGGATTAATTTAATTTTCCCAAACAGTATAACTAGAATATGCTTGATACCTTTATGACTTTGCATTCTTTATTTCATTAACAAGAAAGCAATAATGGATGAGTTTTCCTCAATGATGAGGAAAAGGTTAAGAAATATGAACATTAAAATGGGTTTTTTTAGATTTTAGTTGAATTAAACTTTAATAAAATTGTGCATGGAATTGATTAGGGAAAAATGCTTTCATTCCTAGAGCACTTGAGGTTTCAGTTTAGTTTGTTCTGGGCAATTTTCAATTAAACTGCTTATCCAGTCCTGACTATAAGTGTATTTTCATGGCCTGCAAGGAAATTAATGACTGAAATATCATTTCCAAAATCCTCATGAATAAGGGTCCCTATTAGACCTTAATATACTTTATTCTGATGGCCATTGGTAATTAAAATTTGCATTTCACTAAACAGGCTGCATTTCCTCACCCAAAAGAAATGTCTGATTTCTAATCTCTCTGGAGTGCAAATAAGCGTCCCTAATATCCAACAGTATTCCCATGCTACTAACCATACAGTCTTTCAGTTTTAAGAGCCAGATCTTTATCTGGTGCAAACTGGTGTAGCCACTGAAGTCAGTGACTAGCAGCAGCTGAAGATCTAGCTCATAAATATTTACTAGTTAAGTTTGTGAGCAATGTCCTTGTTTGGTAGAAAACTTTGTCTAATGGAGTCTTGTGGAAGAAACTTTATGCCATAATATCCCTAACGTATTGCACCCAATTTCCTGTATGACTGTTAAAAGGGGGGCATTCCTCAATGAATGATCTTAAATCCAAATATTTGAGTTTTGCACACACACTGAGGGAGGTTTGACCCCTAAATTTTAACACTTGAAGAATGAGAAACCCCTGCGATTTCCTGCCCTGACCCAGGGGAAATTGTGACTTCAGGCCAAGGAAAGCAGGAGGTGGATATATTAGCTCATAAGTCTGAGCCAAAGTCTGTCCCTTAATAGCCTTGGTTTAAGGCACATGATTTTATTCACACTGAAACAAAATACAACTAATTATATTCTTAGGATTAATACCTGGCTCACAATTGCTTGACAAGACAAAATTGTGAATATGCTTTAAGTGGTTTGTGTAGACATTTAGTTATGCTTCTGTTAACTTCTTTCAGACATCTTTGGTTTTGCTTTTTTATGTATGTATAAAAGTGAAATGAAAACCTGGCCTCCTAGGATCTGAGTTCAGGGTTCTCTGCTTCTTTTGCTAAGCCTTGTTAACATAAAGAACTCTTTAGAAACAAGGCGTCCTGTGGCACCTTATAGACTAACAGACGTATTGGAGCATAAGCTTTCATGGGTGAATATATCCGATGAAGTGAGTATTCCCCCACGAAAGCTCATGCTCCAATACGTCTGTTAGTCGATAAGGTGCCACAGGACTTTTTGCTGCTTTTACAGATCCAGACTAACACGGCTACCCCTCTGATACTTTAGAAACAAGGAAACTATATCTTGTCTCTATTTAAGTTTGTGTGAAACTAGATTAGATTCACAAAGAAATCTGAACTGTGGTCTTTGACAGTAAGTAAAGGTGGAATTTGTTTGAAAACCTTTTGTTTCAAAGTTTATTTGTTATAGAAAACTTCATATTTGGATTTGGTGTTAAACAGATTTTTTTAATTTCTTACAAAAAGAAGCTGTTTTGCTTCCTGTAAAAGTTCCTTGAAATATCTGTGTGGTCACTCATGGAATACCATACAAGATGGGTAGAATTTACAAATTTTCTCTTGAAGGGTTGGTTCTTTCTCTTTTGGACAGGAAGTTTCCAAACAGTGGAGCAATGTCAGAAAAGGTATTACCATGTGAAACCTCCCAGTCCTCCAAAATCAGCAATTTCTTTCTCAGAGTTTTTTCTCCTGGACTATTCTCCTCTAAGAATGTTTTACTGTGATTTGTTCTGAGACCGATGAAAACTGCCCAAGTATCCTACCGTATCATTCTGGAAGCCCCATAGGCTTGCTTTACTCTTAAGTGATTTTTGTTGCAGAAAAACTTAGAATATCATTTTCTGTTTTTTTAAGACATATGACCCTGGTTTCAGTCTTCTTCCACTGCAAATTCTCTTCAGTTTTCCCTAATTTCATAATGGGCCAACTCCCACATCCAAGATCCCACAAGGTGAAATATTGTTGAGTTATTGCCCAATAGTGATGCAGCATACAAAGACTTGTCTCTATTTCTCTCGTTAATCTGGTTGATGGTTGCTGAAATTCCTGACTTCTGAACCAGTGCTAGCATTTGTGCTCTCGTTGCTCAAAACCAAGGAATTTTAAACTTTTACAACTCAGTGCCTATGTCTTCCTGATTGCCATCTTTGGGTTTTTTGTATTCTGATAGTTTTTATTTCCTCTCATGCTCTTGACAGTCTGACTTGGAGTATGCCAGTGCCTATCCAGTGGTGAGAATGGTCTGAAGTTGCAGTGTGTAATAGTACTTTTTTTCCACAATTTCTAACGCCTCTTGCTATATCTGGTCAATAGTAGAGAAGGAGACCCAAAAAGGCAAATGATCATGATAGCAGTGTTGTGGTCTCTGATGTGGATACCTGACTCAAGGAATGAGACACATCCCACTGTTTCACTTAGCATTATGACATTTGTCAGACTCAGCAAGGCAAAGGATTAAATAACAATCATGGAGAATGAACTAACTCCCACCTAAAGGTGTCGTCCCTTCAGGGCTGCGTGGAGAAACTTGCATTACCACTACTTACATTGTACCTGCTCAGAGGAGAGATGGCTTCATTCTCCAGTGCTCTGTGTGGTAATCTTCACAAATACAAAGCTCACTATTTTCAAAATGTGCGTTTAATTGAGACATGAACAGTGAACTTTTTTCCTCCTTACTCCTGAGGGCATTCTGCGCCTAAAAATTCTGCGTGCAATATGTTGAAATTCTGCACGTTTTATTTGTCAATAAGTAAATGCAGAGGCTCCAGCATGGCAGTGCAGATCACAGGCCACTGACTGCATGAAGGTGGGAGATCACGCTGCAGCCTCCCCACCCCCCAGGACATGGAGTCAGTGGCAAGGCTGCACCTGACCCTGACACCGCACAAGGCCTGGGCCTACCCCAGAAACACTCCGGGGCCCTGCCCCTCTGCATCAGGTGTGGGTGGGCAGGCTCAACCAGGCAGGATCCAAGTGCGGAGGGACTCAGTATGGGGGGGAATCCAGGTGTGGGGTGAGAGGATTCTGCGTGGGACAGTCTGGGGTGCAGGCAGCTCAGTGGGAGGGTCTAGGTATGGGGGGTGGATCTGGATTCACAGAGGCTCGTTGGAGGGATTCCAGGTGCAGGGACAATGGGACTCTGCAGGAGCTTCCAGGTGAAAGTGGTTGGGGCTCAGTGGAGGGGTCTGGGTGTGGGGGTCTCAGCAGGGAGGTCTGGGTGCTGGGGGAGTGGGGCTTGGGGGTCTGGGTGCAGCTAGTTGGGGGGTCAGTGGCGTAGGGGTCTGGATGTCGGGGCTTGAGTGCAGGGAGCTGAATGGGAGTGGTCTGGTTGCAGAGGTGGGGGTCCTGATGCAGGGGTCTGGGTGCAGAGGGCTTCAGATGCAGGGGGTTCAAGAAGGTGGTGTATGGAGGGCTAGGAGGGTTTTGGGAGTACGGGGTGAGGCTTGGCGGGGGTGTCTGGGTATGGGAGTTCAGGATTCATGGGGTTTGGGTGGATGGGGGACTAGCTCCCTGTACAGTGATCCCTCCCCCACAGCTGAGGAGCAATGGGGGCAGGAAGCAGGGAAGGATGCTGAGCTTCCTGCAGCTGGGGGAGATTTCTGGGAATGGGTCTGACACAGCCCTAGCCACTCCTTATAGGGGAAGAGGAAGTCCCATCGTCTCCTGCCTCCAGCCCAGCTGGGACTAGCATCTGATCTTGGCTCAGGGTAGGAGCCACTGCCTGGGGTGTCCCCAGCCCTGCAGTGATTTACCTCTCTGCCGACTGCTCCAGGTGCCTGAAACAATGTACCTGCGCAGCTAGGAAGTGGTGCATGACTGCTCTTGCAGCTTCCCTTTGCTTACCTTTCAGTCATTTTTCTGCAGGGATGCAAAGCAGCCTGTGGGGGACATGAATTCTGCACATGCTCAGTGGTGCAGAATTCCCACAGGAGTATCTCTTGGACATTTTCCCCATTGTACAAAGAGCTGTCTTGGAGATCATTAAAATCTAGGTAGAAAAGCTATTACCTGTTAGAGCTGAATATTATATACAACTTTAATTTCCCATGTATTTCAAGCACCTTTTATTTAACATAACTCATTTCAAATAGATCTGTTCCTGGAAACAGAAGATGAATAAATCTGCAGTACAGTATATACCATGTCTGAATAGCCTTATCTTTGCTTGTGAAGATAAAATCAACATTCATAGTTACAGTATTTTTATTTGCAAAAAAGAAAAAAAGGATTTTAAGATTGGGATCCTTAAATCTGGGTTTAGATTACATGACAACATTAATACTGCTCCCTTGTAAGTCTATTGTGACAGAGCATAGGGTCTTGCTGTGCCTCCACAAAAGGCAAAGTACAAGAAGATCTTTTTTTAAAAGCTGCTGAATGAAGAGCAGTTCCACTTTATTTGAACTAAGCATCATTTCTACCTCCCACTAGCTGGCTGTTGTGAATCAGTGCTTCAGGCCTCCACATCAGAACTTGAAAACAAGCTCTTGCAGCCAATTTCATTGAAGGCTGTGTGTTTCTCTTTTTCTTCATTCCTTACCCCTATTTCAAATTAAGAATTTATTCACCCAGTATATTCTATTTCCTTGATCAGTGGCCTATATTCAGATACAGTTCTATCTGTGGGGAGGGATAACTCAGTGATTTGAACACTGGCCTGCTAAACCCAGGGTTGTGAGTTCAATCCTTGAGGGGGGCCATTTAGGGATCTGGGGTAAAAATTGGGGATTGGTCCTGCTTTGGGCAGGGGGTTGGACTAGATGACCTCCTGAGGTCCTTTCTAACCCTGATATTCTATGAGTCTGATATTCTAACACTTACTGTGCTTAGTTTTTGCATGGATATATTTATGTAGTACATATATATGGCAGAGGGCTCTATCAATTGATTTAACCCAGCAGGCATGAATAGTTTTAACTGCAGCTATTAATGTTAACTGCATGGTTATTCTTTAATAATTTTAAATCATAAACTAGCAATCTGAATCTGGTGTGATTCTGTTTTCTATATCCTCACTGAGTGTGTATATTGAATCATGCTCTGTTGATTTGTAGGAATACAGGACCTGGTTTTTGCATGTAGATCTGCATGTAGGACATGGGGAAAATAGAAATACAAGAATTCATTGATCTTTTCACCGGGTATTCTTACTCTCACTGCAGGTTGGATTAGAGAATGAGAGGCCCAAAAAGAAGAACTCCAAAGCAGTATGTATTTAGAGAGTGTTTTCCTCTGAGAGGGTTATGCTGGGGCTGGAGAGAACTTGCAAAAATTGTTGGCCATAGGGTTATGGCCAGATTGGGCCAAACAGTTTTCGTTTATACTGATAAATCAGCCTAATGCCAAGAATATATTGTAGCTCTTTGTAGTCTTGGGTGCATAAAAAGCACTAAGTATCAGTTGCTTATTACAAAATGCAGTTCAGCCCAAATGATTATACAGCAGTACTGCTTAGAGGATTTTTTTCAAGATACTCTGTATCTTCATATATTACATTAGTGAGTAGAAAGATGTAGGGAAAAGATGGTAGCAGCTAGTGTGACTGGTAACTAAGGTTGTATTTTTTCCATGAGGCAGGAGGAGGGAGAATGTCATTTAAAGTAGCAAACCAGTAAATGTAATGGGTCAACATTGAATCTAACAAGCACACGTAAGTAGCTAATAACTGAACAATGCTTTAAGATTCTAGGAGTGCTTCATTAAATAAAACAGTTTTTATAGGCTACTTGTTAAGGAGCTTTACACTGGAAAATTTTCAAAACTCAAAGAATAGCTGTGTTTAAAAAACAGACTCCCCCTCAAACATCCACAGAAATGACTTTCGAAACCTTTTTTAAAGGAAAATAGAGTTTGATTACTTCCAGGTAGGAATGCAGACTTCATTTTGCAGAACCGGGGTGGTGGGAGGGGAGGTCATCAGATGTAAATGCCTCCACCAAACTAGGGACTAGTTTTCTTGCAGCATTGATTTCATGCCAAAGACATTTCAATCACTTGTTTTTTTTCTAGAGAAGGTTTTGTAAAATCAATCTTTATGTGACTTCCACAGGGCACCTACATGTAGGCTTTCTTTTGTCGTCAATTGGAATATTGCATTTAGTCCAAAATATATTGCCAGATAATGCAATAAATACCCTGGAGGTGGAAATGTGACAAATATTTACTCATTTTGTGTGTCTGCCACAACTTTGTTCATAGTAACTCTTATGATGAATGTGACAGTTCAGAGCAACTATCCCTGCATTTCCCCACAGTGGTTCAGCAAGAGCATCGACCCATGTTTCAGCTCCCCAGCTCTTGCCTTTCTGGGTGGAGAGCTGTCTCTCTCCTTTCTGATAAGGGTATTCACAGGCTGCTCAGTTCCCTGCTTTCACTGTGTATTTCCCAACAAAGACACTCTGCCTAAACAGACCTGTTTGCTTTCTCTTCAGAGACAGATAAGAGTGACTGATACAGATATAAATAACCACAGAGTTCTTTCTAAGCAAGCCTACTTTAGTCTTAAGGTAAAAGCACTACAGAGAAAATATTTTAAAAACAAAAGAACCTTACACAAATGTTTATAAGCTTACCAGAGTCCCAACCCTAACATGGATTCTGGCAGGAGCAGTCCTTCAAGCCTCCTTTCTAGGGGCGTCATTGTGGTTACAAGTTAATTACAGCTTCAGATCAGATCAGGCACGTGGTCTTGTGAGGCCTCAGTAGGCCAAGTCCTTCCAGGCCTTCCCAAAGGCTTGTGACCCTCCATGGACCAGAGGTCCTGGCCGTTTGCTGCATCAGAAACAAGGCCCTAGATCACTTTAAAACTAGGCTGTTTATCCAAAAATTGTTTCTTGCTCTGTTGATCCCTGGCAAATCCAGTTTGAACTAGTACATGCGCACCTGCCCAAGGGGATAGCTTCTAAGGCTGATAAAGGAAGAAATTAATAGCATCCCTGTCCCTACTAGAGAGAGTACATACAGTGCCACAACATGTACACAATGGCATTTTTAATACAGCGTAGCCCAAAGGTATTAACCCTAATTCAGTAAGGTTCAGTTTAATTCAACAGTTTATTGTAATTCCGTAAGGCTTGTTCACAAATGTTAGTCTCTCATAATGCAGTCTAAAGTTAAGCATGTGCATAAGTCTCTGTAGTATGAAGACCCTAATCACATCCACATTAATCAGGGTTTTCTCTGTGCATACGCAAGTAGAAAGGCCAACAGAAAGCTAGAATATGTCAAATATTTTGTTCACAGCAAATGCTCAGATTTTCTAGGAAATCTGACGACTCCAAAAATAAGTGTCTCACCAATTGCTACAGTAATATCTTAGTCCACTGTACTGTATAAATTTAATTAACTGTTAACAGCACTAGTGTGCTAGCTAATGGATTTTTATTTCTGTGCTGATCTAGAAGATAGTCTGATTAAAAATTAGTTTCTTATTGATTTTTGTTAAATTTCATTCTTTGAAAGAAGCATTTTCAGTTTTTTCACATACATTTATTGGAGAGAATATGCAACATATATGTTGCCAGGGGACTGTTTGAAATGTGTAGTTTGTGATTAGAAATTCAATCATTCGTAATCCTGCTAGATGAATGCAAATGTTAATGCACTGGTGCATTTTGACATCGCTTTATTACAGGCTTTTATTACCAATTCCGTTTTTGAGGGGATTTATCATTTTAATTTGCTTCAGTCTGTAATTTGGCATACAACTCTTCAGTGAGTATGCAGTTGCATTTTGCTTGAAAACAGATTCAGATTGGTTTGTCTGATGTTCCTTTTAGTGATGTATTAAAAATACGTAGAGAATATTTGTAATAAAAGTAAAACCTATCAATAACAATTTTAGGGATTGAGAGAGACAAGATGGGTGAGGTAATTTCTTTTATTGGACCAACTTTCCCTTTCCCTTCAGTAGACTGAAGTGAAACCATCCCTTTTCACTTCCCAAGGAGTCAGAAAAGACTGATACTTTAAATACATTCTGCTGATCTGTTTTTACAAAAATTTGAGGTGAAAACAGGGACATTTTTCGATAGGTTACAGATATTGCTGGCAGATAAAACTGTCAAGTGTTCTATGAGCTGTCTGAAGTCATAATGATCCCTGGGGAACCAATGTCCCTGTTGTACTTGTGGAAAAAGCACCATCTGTGTCTTAGCTCTGAATAAATGATGACTTTCCCTGAGACCTCTTTTGGTTTCATTTAAGTTTTTTCTCTCTCATTTTTCTCTCATGACAGACCAATGGTTATGATGAAGACATGTATGGATCATCCCAGAGTAGAAAATCTAGCAGGGTTAGTAAAGAATTTCTAAAAAACATGTCACTCAAGTTCATGGAATTAACAGGAAGCTTTTCCAGAAATTAACCGTCTCCTTTGCTGAGGGCTTTTTCTAAAGCAAAATAGATGCTCTTTTTTTGTCCCTGCTTTGGAAGGCGTTTTCCCCCTGACTTCCATATTACAACTTGTGCAGGTCACTAGGCATCTGCTCCTCTGTAGAGGCACAACCAAGTCCATAAAAAACAAAACAAAAAGTAAACCACAAGATTCACCAAGGCCAAGTCTTGCCTGACCATCCTGATCGCTTTCTATGATGAGATAACTGGCTCTGTGGATATGGGGAAAGCGGTGGACTTTAGCAAAGGTTTTGATATGGTCTCCCACAGTATTCTTGCCAGCAAGTTAAAGAAATATGGATTGGATGAATGGACTATAAGGTGGATAGAAAGCTGGCTAGATCATCGGGCTCAACAGGTAGTGATCAACGGCTCCCTGTCTGGTTGGCAGCCAATATCAGAGTGCCCCAAGGGTCAGTCCTTGGGCTTGTTTTGTTCAGCATCTTCATTAAAGATCTGGATGATGAGATGAATTGCACCCTCAGCAAGATCACAGATGACACTAAGCTGCGGGGAAGGGTAGATACTCTGGAGGATAGGGATAGGGTCCAGAGTGACCTAGACAAATTGGAGGATGGGGCCAAAAGAAATCTGATGTTGTTCAACAGGGACAAGTGCACAGTCCTGCACTTAGGATGGAAGAATCCCATGTACTGCTGCAGGCTGGGGACCAACTGGCTAAATGGAGTTCTGCAGAAAAGGACCTGGGGATTACAGTGGACAAGAAGCTGGATAAGAGTCAACAGTGTGCCCTTGTTGCCAAGAAGGCCAACGGCATATTGGGCTGCATTGGTAGGAGCTTTGCTAGCAGATCGAGGGAAGTGATTATTCCCCTCTAATCGGCACTGGTGAGGCCACATCTGGAGTACTGCATCCAGTTTTGGGCCCCCCCGCTACAGAAGGGATGTGGACAAATTGGAGAGAGTCCAGCGGAGGGCAACAAAAATGATTAGGGGGCTGGGGCACATGACTTATGAGGAGAGGCTGAGGGAACTGGACTTATTTAGTCTGAAGAAGAGAAGAGTGAGGGGAGATTTGATAGCAGCCTTTAACTAGTGGAAGGGGGGTTCCAAAGAGGATGGAGCTAGGCTGTTCTCCATGGTGGCAGATGACAGAACAAGGAACAATGGTCACAAGTTCCTATGGGGGAGGTCTAGGTTGCATATTAGGGAAAAACTATTTCAGTAGGAGAATGGTGAAGCACTGGAATGTGTTATCTAGGGAGGTGGGGGAATCTCCATCCTCAGAGGTTTTTAAGGCTCGGCTTGACAAAGGCTTGGCTGGGATGATTTAGTTGGGGATTGGTCCTGCTTTGAGCAGGGAGTTGGACCTCCTGAGGTCTCTTCCAACCCTAATGTTCTATGATTTTATGATTCTAAGAGGCCGTGAGTGGGAAGGAAAAAGACTTGGCCTGAGAAAATTCAAGTAGGATTTGGGGCCAGAATATAGTTCTGTCGAAACTAATTGGGTAAAAAAAACCAAAACAAGTTATGGAGAAAAATACTTTGGCAGTGGAAATATAGCTTGGACTGGAGTCTCTGGAGCTCTTTCATGCATCCTTTATAGAGATTTGATTGCCATTGGAATATGGGCATGAAATATCCAATTGAATCTGTACAATCAATTCAAAGCATTTAAGTAGTTGCTTAACTCCAAGCATGTGAGTAACCCTGTAGCGTTCAATGGGGCTACTTACATACTTAAAGTTGAGCATATACTTAAGCATTTTCCAGAAGCCAGCATTTGTTTTAATTCCCTGTTGTAAACTCTTTTTCCTGTAGCCTTTACACTTTTTCTGTATTTAGCTGTTACATGTGGAACCTAGAGAATGAATTAAGTGCAATAAACTTCATGTAGCAACACCCTTACATGCATAAGGAGGCGTACAGTGATCAAAACTCCAGACAGCTAGCTATGTGGAGATATACAGCAAGTCTCAGTGGAAAAAACGTAGAATTGAAGTTATAGTTGCAATAAATTGTAGTTTTGTACATTATGTTTGCCTTAAATTTGCAGTAATTAGCTGAAATTGCAACAAGGACTCTTATGAAAAGACAACACATACAGGGACATTTTTTGTTGTCTAAACAGTTTAAGTATTGCCAATCTCGCTGAACTTTTTGACAAAAGGAAACACTGTACAGTCTTTTCAGAGGACTTGTTGCTCTTTTGATTTGTGCCAGCATCTCTGATAAATGATGTTCTTGTTCTTTAATGACATACTCTAGAGCTCCAACTACAGCGGGGAGAGCAGAAAATCTACAAAGAAGTCATCCAGGGAGGAGAAGTTGGTTGGTTTCTATTTAAATATTAACATGATTTCTGTGGAAACTGCAGGGTTTGTAGCATGGAGTTTTTTATGTAGCGCATGATTACAATCACGTTATTCACTCCTTGGTGTCTTCATTACTAACAGTAATTCTGATCACTGTTTGAAGGGAGAGTAAGGTTTAGGGGAACAGTAACATAGTTGAGCTGTCTTCATAGGGCATAATAAACTCCACCTCCAGTATTACTCCCTTAGAACAATACAGATTTACATCCTACCCGTATGTTTAAAACAGAGAACAGGTTTTAATTTGCAAATGTGTTGTTTGTGCATGCAAAGCACCAAGCCATTTAATTCTTAACATGCCTTAACCATAATATTGTATGTTACTGTATGCTACAGTATAAGTATATAATACCTCATTTTTCCTAAAGCTTTTGGGAAACTAATAGTCCTATTAAGTGTTGTAAACTGCCTTTCTACTACTTGAAGGCCTGGACCTGTTATGTCTTATTTGCCTGCCCTATCCCCAAATAGAGACACCACAAACTGCTGCAGATAAACCCTTGTGCTGTAGAAGAGGGTCACCCCACCTCAACAGCTGCCTAAAAGATATAAAACAAAATTTGAGTGTTTGGAGTGAGACTCACTTCATCTCTTGCAAGTCTTTACTAGAGTTTCCTGCAGCTTCTGTCAGTAACACAGAGATCCGTCGTCCACAGCCGACTTTAAAGTTGGCTGTTTGTTATCTTTCCGCATGTCTGCCTAGAAATTACATTAAAATTTCCCCATCTAACTAGTTGGGCCAGCCAGATTCAGAACTAAACAGATGAAAGCTCGCTACTGGAGTTGAAGTTGCTGGAATGACACGGAGGTTACAAATGGAAGATATTTCATTTGAGAGGCCTACTCCTGCACTTCTGTTGTGTGCTTCACATTGTCGCACCTTTTCTGACCGTGGGTTGTTCCCTGCTTCTGTTAGCTATGGCATATCAGGAAAAAGGCTTGGCCTCACACACTCTGGATGCTCCCCAGACCAATCAGGTTGTCTTTTGACACCCTGTATTTTTTGCTCTATATTGTAGAGCACCCAGCCTTCCAAATAACTCTCTGGGGTTAGAGTTGGGCAGGTTTTTACTTCCTAGTTTTACCGGGTTTCTTGTTTAACTGAGTGGGAACAGACCTTTTGTTAAACCTGATTTGCTTCAGCCTGTCTTGGTTCTCTGTGCCACATTCTGCAGCTGTCAGAGTCTCTCCTATTCAGCAGGGAAGGTTAGAGGTGCTGATAATCAGCCTAAATCCAGAAAAAGCAAATAATTTTGTCTTTATAAAACCTCACCTTCATCTTAATAAGAATTCCAAGCCAAAGAATGTAATCCTTTCTCTTTTTTCCTTCATCTCCCCCATTTCTGCTTCACTTCACTCTGACTCCCCCAGTCTGAAGCGATGGAAAAAAAATTCTAGGAAAAGCTGTTGCTGGCAGATTTCGATCAATGATGCACAAAATAGTGCAGCTTGTTTGTTACTGAAATTTGTTCTAAAAATCTGAAATACGATCTATTTATGATAGCTAAATGAGAGGTGTCTCTGCTGTTTTGTATACATTGGTAATTCCTCTGCACAAGGACAAGACAATGTGATAAATGGAATTCATAGATTTTTTTTTACTAGGCTTCAGAGCTTTTAAGCATTAAACTGGAGGATATAGTGAATGAGAGTAATATGTTCTTTCACGTGAGGTCTATTTTTCAAGTGTCTAAGTGCTAATGTGCCTGAGGGATTGTCTATTCTTGAAATGCCACAGCTGCGCTGCTGTAGTGCTTCAGTGTAGACGCTACCTGTTCCAATGGGAGGGGTTCACCTATTGGTGTAGGTACTCCACCTCCATGAGAGATGGTAGCTAGGTCAATTGAAGAATTTTTCTGTTCATCTAGTGCGGTCTACTCTGGGGATTCGGTCAGATTAATTCCCAGGGCTGAAGCTAAAGGCCGAACCCATCACCCAAGTCTGAAGCTAAAAGCTGAGGGCTTCAGCCCTGGGTGGCAGGGCTTAGGTTACAGCCCTTTCCCTCCCACCCCCGGTCCAGGACTAAAGCCTTTCAGCGTTGGCCCCCTGCCCAGGGCAGCAGGGCTTGGGCGGGCTCAGGCTTTGTTCCCCCCTCCTGGGGTCGTGTAGTAATTTTTGTTGTCAGAAGGGGGTCACAGTGCAATGAAGTTTGAAAACCACTGTCCTAATTTAAATGAATTAATACAGAATTTGACAATTCCTTCACATTAAGCAGAGTTCTCAGGTTTTTCTTCCTGTTGATACAGGGTTCCTACTACTGTGACCTTGGTCTTCACAACAGTGGCTTTACTTCCAAATCCCAACCTTCTTCCCAAAATGGAAATAGGGTCTGTCACTGTCTGTTTCCCTCTAACCTTGACTTTTTTGTTTTGAGTTCACCTGGACAACACAACCTCCTGTATTCACACAAATAATGATAGGACATTGGAGCGAAGCAATGACACTGTTCTCGGTCTGGTTGCCAGGCGTGTCTAGGTCTTGTGTTTTGTTACAAATTTATGTCTGGAATGGGAAACAGAGATCTGTTTAAGACAGGTCATGATGTTGATATGTGCCTCTCCTTTTCCTGCAATTGTTTTATTTTGCTTTTGACAGTTGTCATAAATTTTGTCTTGGAAAAGATTGCAAAATCCCCATTAAATATTCGTAGTTCATCTTAGCTGAGACCACTCCTCTGCTCACCTTGCCAGTCTGTTTCCTGTTGGCACATGTGAGATGAAGCTACAACCCTTGCCCTTCCCACTCTGTGTAATTTACAAGGCAAATGATTCCTGTACTAGGGCAAGAAAATCACAAAGCATAAGGCCTTAAAATCCTCTTGGTGGTTGAATTGTCCTCTCTGCATACAGGCAAAGTACACTGTATCTGGCTGGGTGAGGGTGCTGTTAATGTATATACAGTATATACAGCACCGTATTGTGCCTTGTGTAGCCTTTGCTGAATGTGCACTCTGAACTTCACACTCACCTCCTGGGAATGTGTATTACTAACAGTAATGTCTTTTGTGAATGCACCTCCCTGTTTCTTTTATTTGATGGTATCCTGTCTTATAATGTAAGCAGAATTGTCCATCCTGATTCTGAATAATTTGATTTTGTCGCTTTCTGTTCAATAATAAAATAGGTCACAGATGGTTCAAAACTGTCTGGAGTATTTTAAAAATCTACCCTCTTAATTTTCCTGTCTCTGTGGGTATTGTACCAAAGTTACTTCTGTTTTTGAATTGCTGGCTTTGACTGAAACCAGAATGGTCATAAGCTCTCCTTCTGACTGCTGTACATATAGGCAAGGCTAAGATTTTTTCACAGATATTTTTAGTAAAAGTCAGGGACAGGTCACGGGCAATAAAGAAAAATTCACAGAAGCCTATGACCTGTCCCTGACTTTTACTAAAAATATCTGACAAAATGGGGAGCTGCTCGGTAGCTGTGGGGCTGGCTGGGAGTTCTGGGAGCCCCCACCACCCATGGGGGCTCGGAGCTCCAGGGTCCCCCTTCCCCCTCGGCTTGGAGCTGTGGGGTCCCACATGATGGCCAGGTACAGCGGGGTCCCCCTTGCTGCCTGAGATGGCCAGGAGCAGCAGGGGTACCCCACAGCTCCCGGCCTCCGCTGGCGGCAGTGGGACCCTGCAGCTCCCAGCCACCTGCGGGCTGAAGTCACGGAAGTCTTTGGAAAGCATGGATTCTGTGACTTCCATGGCCTCCATGACAAAATCATAGCCTTACATCTAGGTCTTTCTCTTAGACAGTAGGAGAGGATTAGTGACTAAAATAAGTTACTCGGTTTTCCTTCTGCACTCTCTCTGATATCCTCCCTTCCTGTAGGAAACATGCATATATATCTGCTTTATTCTTAGTCTTTGTTTGGACTTGAGCTTTCAGGTTTTTAAGCACAGATGGTTAATACAGTTTTGTAATACTGTGTACGATATCTGTACACAGCTTCCCTGCATTATAGCATAAGAATTTTAATAGCATGAATATGTCTGACTGGGATGATTAATCCCAATGTGAACACTTTTTGCTGTTATCCATTTTTATATAAAAAAGGTTTGTGCTTGTCTTCCCCAGCCTTCCTTGCTGTACAGTGATGTTCTGCCTGCCAGAAGTTACATGGTTTGTTGTGCTTTGTCATTTTAACCACAAATGCAGAAGCTGTGCACTCACCCATGCACATGTTGTCTTTTGCCCTTGCAGTTTGTCGAGACTATCTTGTTGGTCCAGTTTATTTATATTGTACTATATTGTCATTTTAGTATATGATCCATTTGAATGGAATGCACATATGCCCATGGTGCATCTGTCAGTTCTGTTTTGCTGGTCCTACATTTTACTCCCATTGGAATTCTGCAACAGTTGCTTATGGATCTGTAACACTTCTGCAGCTTTCTAATTGGAGTAAGACATTTCTGTCTTCATTTTGGTGTATGATGTAGGACACTGAAATATGGACTAGAAAGAGGCAACATCAATCCTGACCTATACAAATTGGCAAAAATTTGTCTTGTTTAAAAACAAAATATACAGTGTAATGTTCTTGCAGAATACATTCCCACTGTTTTCCTGTGTTAAACTGAGTGCAGCTAACTTCATTCTCAAGTCTTGGCAATGGTGATAGGAAACCCTACCCTGCATTTTCTGAGCCACATAACTAAGCCAGAGATTGGTGTTCTAAAATCGAACTAGATGGTAACGGTTTATAACATGCGTCCCCACCAACAGCTTCCTATTAATTCAGTAACTGATATCTCTTTTTCAATTAAATTTACCAGGAATCAATTTTTCTCTTTTCCTTACCCTGTCCCAACCCCAAAATATTTGGTTTAGCACCACTAAAATTATAAGAATTGATGTTGTCACTTTATAGCAGGTAATTTTAAGTGTTAAAGTTGATAGTTTGAAAAAGAACTGTTAAGACTGCATGAGTGTGTGAAATTTCTGATGACTTTTGGATCTCATTTTAATTCTGCACGTGTTCTGTAGTGTTTCACAGCTCACTGGAGCTCACTGGAGAATTGGTGGGTTCATTCTTTGCTTGCATGCCATATATGGGGTTTTACAGGAAATGCCCCTGTTGTTTCTGCACCTTTGTTCGTTCTCCCCCTTGCACTCCTCGTTTGTGCTGCACCTTGCAATCTTGTAATGCTCCAGATTAGAAACAAAACCAAAGTCTACCAGTTTTGTGCTGACTCTGTTTTTTAATTGTAGGCGTCTCTGTATGATGAGAGCATTTACAGTGGGAATCGTCGATATAGTGCCTCTAGTTCTCGTGCTGTAAGATGTTTTCTGCATTTTTCTGCTGGGCCTGTCTTCAGTGTTATGTCCTACGATAACCTGTTTTACTAGAGCGTAGTTTTATCTGTATCAATGGGCAGTATAAGATTACTGGCCAGATAGCTGATGATGGAGAATTTTATGTAAACAAGACTGGGAGCATCACCTCTACAAAGTTCCCTCCGTGTAGATTCACTGGAGTCAAATACTAAGTGTCCTGCCTGCAATTGTCATGCTACACTGTGCAGGGGTATCACCTTATGGTTTCAATATGACAGTATAAGGGGTTCCTCTTTCTGGTGAAAGGAATCTTAGCTCTGCCTTTGAATTTATTTGCTGTTAAGAAAATTCAAAACATCAACTGGAAAACCACATTTATGTAAGACCCCCCCCCCTTCTTCCCTAGGGCTCCATTTCACTTTTAAATAAACTGGCTTCAGAGAGCTTAAAAATTCAGTACCCCCATGCTACTATGTTTTCACTTGTGACTTAGTCAGGGTTTGGGGTTCATTCTCTTGTAATATGGTATTTATACCAGGTGACTTAGGAGGAGGATAGTCTGTAATAGTTGCTAGGGTGAGATTGGAGAGCTCAAGGAATCATTTATGGGAGATCCTTCTACCCATTTAAATCTGACTCTGGTCAAAAATGACAATTTATTAGCATTTAATGGTTGTTCACTAGCTTATTTAAATGAGCTAGAGGATGGGTAGGGCTTAACTAGTGGACAGGTTACAAATATCACCATTACTATTAACACCCTTAATGTCACTTGCAAAACGCAGGCTAAAGATGAAGACACCCCTTCTCCTCTCAGACAGTGTCCCCATTTCAGGTTTGGAGCCATTTTGGTGGGGCAGTGTGAGGAAACTTGTACTGCCATTGTACCTGTTCTGAAAATGTAAATAGAGACCTTCATTGTTCAGTGCTTCCCTTGTGAAAGTCTTAAACCTTTTGCATTATTTTTTGCCAGTAATTAATGAAAAATAGATATTCTAATGTTCTCTTATGCATTAGAAGTGTAGTCCTGTTTTTAACTTAGAAAAATAAATTGAAATTGTCTCTGTAAAGCTAACTCAGCTGATATTTTCACTTTATCCTCTACCAATACATGACATTCTGTTGCAATCAAAATATGACTTGCTAATAGAATTGTACATTTTATCAATGTTATCCTGTCCTCAAATTAATTTGCTTCACGGGTCTTATCTTGTTTTCATTTTGCTCTGTTGCAACATCCATTGATAATCAGTTTGGGTTGCCCAGCAGCGTGTAATCCAGTGGATTTGCCATCTGGACAGTGCAGTCGTGTTTTGTGGGTAGAGGTGTGTGTCATTTAGACAGATATCTCAAAGGATCATATCCTGCAGTCCTAATTGGGGCAAAACACTCATTTACTGTGGGTTCTGAGCCTGAGAGCTATTTCTCCATCTTGCTGAGACATGGAGCACAGCATTTTGAATGGAGAATGTTTAGGCTTGGAAGGATTAGATTTTTATCAGTAAATGTCAGTAAATTCAATTTCACTGACCACACAGGTGCAAAAATATTTCCATTGATGACTGAAGTTTATAGATAGACAAAATAAGAAAAATGCTGCATGAGCACTTACTAGAGTTTATTTTGACCCATGGTATTGAAAATTTGTGTTTTAATGGTTATAAAGCTTTTTAACTTTTTATATCTCAATGTCTACAGTCATTAAATAATTGTCTGGACCCCCATAATTTCCTTCAAGTGTGAACATTTAAATAGATAAAAATAAACGTCGATATTATCCATGGAAATCATAAAAAAAATTTTTTGCCAATCCTAAGAATGTTGTCCAAAGACACTAATGTCCATAGTATCATTCTCTTCTCTTCTCTCTGCTGTGCCGCAGATTCTGCATGCTGGTGAATAATGCCATCTCTCCAGTTCTAGTGTAGCATGGTGCTTTGTAATCACAGGACAGTTGAAATATGAGGCCTTTGCCTTCAGACAGAGGTGAAAGTAAGCCAGTACGGTCTGGTACGGCATACTGGCAAGAGCCGGTACAGAGCCGACCGTACCGGCAGGGGGCAGCTTCCCCAGGCTGGCAATTTAAAAGAGCCCGGAGTCCCTGGCAGTAGCAGGAGCCCCGGGCCCTTTAAATCACGACCAGAGCCCCGCTGTAGGAGCCCCGGGGTAGCGTTAGTGGCTGGGAGCCCCAGGGCTCTGGCAGCGATTTAAAGGGCCCAGGGGCCCAGGGCTCCCAGCCACCGCTACTGCAGCTGGAGCCCTTTAAATCACCACTGATTTAAATAGCTATTTAAAGGGCCTGGGGATTTAAAGCCCCCGCCTCTTCTGCTCAGGACCTCAGCCCTGCATACGGGTAAGTCCTTTAAGTTACTTTCACCCCTGCCTCCAGAGGAATATCTTGATTACAGCATTGCACTGACACAGTTATGCTCTTGGCCGTGAAGTTTATAGCTTTGCTCATATTTGGAAGAGACATTTGGGCAATTGTTGCCAAGAAGCATTTTCTGAAGGATGTTGGAGTCCTCTTCCTTGCTTGCCAAAGACACTGAGAGAATGTGTAGGACAAAGTGGTATGTAGTTCTTCTTTCCTTGCTCACCCCCAAATTACTGACCAGAGGGCACTTAACTCAGCAATCCATCTTTTTCTTTTGCTAATGACAATTTTCAAATTGCTTTCCCACAAGATCCTTAAATTTAATGAGCAGCTTTATCCCCGGTTATAAATGCTAAAACAAGGAGAGGAACAAGTGGAAATGAGGTAGCTGAGAAACAATACTTCACTATTAGGCTGGTATGAGCAGTTACATTTTCCCCGTAATATATTTCAAGAATAATTTCTTACGTTTTTGTTTTACTTAATGTATATTTTTAATAGCAATGATGGAGCAAGACTCGTCTAACAGGTTTCTTAAGGGAATGGAATCATTAAGTATTTGCTTTGATTTTTCTGAGACAAAGTTCAATAGTCAACATGCATGAAGCTTTGTCACTATCTGCAGAATATCAAGAAAAGCATGGTTTGAGGGTGCTCCTATCTCCTTTTTCCATAGCTTTTTGACTGTTATCTGCTGCCAAGATACTGTCTTGAAGTCACAATTGTTAAGCTTATGGTTCTGTTGCAGAAAGGACCATTTCTGTCCCAAACTTGAAAGTTTTTTCCCTACATAAGCTTCAATTCTTATCTTGTTTAAAAGAACAAAGCAAAAACCGCACACACAACCTCCCCCAAAAACCAAACATCCACTCAAGGGAAAAAAACCACCACCACCCACTAGAAATTGCATTGCTATCCACCTGTAAAACAATGTAGGCAAGCTTCCAGTGACCTGTTCATCTTGAGGATACGCAATCTTGTCAGTTCTCTCAGTAGCTGAGGAGTTGAGGATGGCTTCTCTACTGGCCCAATTGAGTTATGGAAGTTGGTATATTTTAGTGTTGTCTGTCTTCAGAAATTATTTTCATGGATAGAAACTACATTTAGCGTCAAGGTCATTCCTCTTCAGATTCCAATAGTTGTTTAGAAGGTCAAATTTAAAGCTTCAATTGCTAGCACTTTATTCCAAAATGAGTCTTATTTACAAAATAAATCCACCAATATTACTACAAATTCGTAGTGTGTCACACACACAGCTGTGAATTGCCATCCAAAACCAGGATGTGTAAGTTTCCACTACTACTCAACACTGGCTCATAACTAACAAATACTATTCAGAAATCTGCATCTCTGATGACATCTTTGATTATAGGAATTCATTGACAAGGCAGTCAACAAAACGTCAGTCCTGTCTCCAACAGCATTTGAAATACAGAGGTTTTTTTGATCATTGAAGGACACACTCAACAGGACATGCTCTGTGTATTTCAGTTCCTTCTTTTTTAACAATCAAAATTGCATTTCTGAAAAATTACATTCACAGTTGTCTTTGAGGCAGCAGTGGCAGAAACAGTGTCACAGGAAATGAGCATAAAGAACACATGTTTTTTTTGGCTCAAGTGTGGTATGAATATGCTGAAATCTTTATATACACCTGATAATTCATGTGTGTAAAAATACTGAGCAGTGCAATAGGGTGTTTGATTGGTGCTGTGGAAGTATGTGTCAAATGTGGGGGGGGGGAAAGAATTCAGAAATTCAAATCTAAGGGATTTCGATTCTGATTTTCTATTGGGTAAAACTCATTCTTTATTTTATACTGTTGCATTCTCCACTTTCACCAGATTCCAGCCTGTCAATATGGTGACTAACACGATAAAGTCTCTGACTATTTTGGCCTAAACCTCTCAGCCACAAGTCAACACTGTCAATTATATCTTGCTCTGTAGAAACCTGCTCTTAGGAAAGACTAGAATCCCTACGTCTGCAGGAGATGGAGGCTGAAGGGGTGATGCTCTCAGTCTCTATGGGAAGGTACAGTTCTTACCATAGTATCTGTATCCAGTCAAGAAGGAACACTTATCAACCACGGAGGTTTCTTGCTTTGGGTATGGAGCAAGTGTTCATTTTGTAACTTCACAGTATTGCAGAAGAGGTGAGGGTCTTGTGAAACTTTCACCCAGACCAAAAAGGTGTTCTCTTGCCACATGCCCTGTAACCTTGGGTACCTTTTAGGCTGTGCAGGTTTGGCTGAGAGCCCTGACACCAGCAGCATACTCACAGCACAGTGGTCTCACCCTGAGCTTCCATCAGCCCAGTTACTCCTTGCAGGGCATCCCCAGCAATCCTTCTGGACCCAAGGCTCCCCAAAACATTCTAACTTGCAGCAAACTATTCTCTTACTAGACACTCCCAGAGGTACCACCGTGTTCGCTGCCTCCCAAGAGCCAGTACAAAAAACAAGTTGACGCTACAGGGGAGATGGGTTTGGGGAGACTCATGTCTGGAAGATTATTGGAGTCATCCTGCAAGGAGTAAGTGGGCTGGTCAGAGTTGAGGGTGAGACCATTGTGCTGCGGGCATACTGCTGGTGTCAGGGCTCTCAGCCAAAGCTGCACAGCCTAAAGGCAGCCAAGGTTACAGGGCAGGGGCTGACAGAACCCCCTTACTGGTCTGGGTGAACTCCCAAAGCATCACAGGACTGAACAGAGCTAGGAGGTAAGATCTCCTAATGAAGGAATGGGATGGAATCACTCCATACATACAGAGATTGAAGGAATGGCTGATACCTTAAACTTTTAAATAAAATATTAAGGACAAACGTCTCTCTGCTCCACATGGTGTAAAAGAGTTAAACCAAAACCTTTTTACTGAGTCCATTTGTGTACCAATTGCTTATGCAGACCTTTTGTCTAATGTAGGTTTCTGCTCTCAACTTCAGCCTCCTCTTTTTTTTCTTTCACAGCTGCATGCACCCCTTTTTAAACTAACCTGAAATGGTAGTGTTCTGACTCTTCTATTGCTCTGATTGCTCCAGTGCTAATCCTGTTCTTATCTCTGCTTACTGTGTTCTTGGGGTATTTGTGGGCAGCCGTCGGAGTACAGCTGCTACCTCGGCTCCGGATCTCGGGCATCTTCTAGAGCCAGCTCTGCTCGGGCAAGTCCAGTGGTGAGCACATATCTTCTCTTTATCTCTTCCTCCTTTTCAGCTGCTTCATTCCTGTGTTTCCCAAGGCTGCTTGATACTTGTGCAGAAAGTGTGGTGTCAGACAACTAGTCAATTGCAAGTTTAATTTAACCTATAATACAATATTGATCATGACTAAGGATCAGTGAGCAGGATCAGAAAATACAAAGAAACAGTGTGAACCGTAGCTAAATCCTCTAACCAAAATAAATATTAAGTTTTGGAGAAGCATCACCAGACACAACCATACCCAATCTAAGATGTGCTCTTCCATCAGTTAGCCATCCCCACATGCACACATTCATTCCTTTCTCAATATCCTGCAAATTCTATGATGAGGGTCTGTGCCGAGCAGGTTCCATCTTCACGTCTTGCAGTTTTGAAGTTTTCTTCGGAGTCAGAGGTGCACAGTACACTCTGACAGGCCTCTTAACAGGTGAAGCTCCAGATAGCACAGAACTCAAAACTGCAACAGCCTGAGTTCAGCAGAGTTTACTAGACTTGGAGACTCTGCAACAATTATGTCAAAAGGGTATTGATGCTTGTTGGTTACTGAAGATGTTGGGGCTGGCTCAAAATTTACCCTGCCTCCACTAGCAGGGTAATAAATACCCGGCTGCTGCCACAGCCCTGCAGTTTAAAGGAATAAATAAATAGTGTAATCATTTTTGTAAGTTAATCAAACATCTTTCAATCTAAGTACCTGAAACATAACTTCTCTCCCTTTCCTGCATCTTTTAGACTTTTTTCTGACCTGCTCGTGGTGCATTTTTTCCCCGGTGGTGGTTTCAATCTTTCCTATTTCCTCCTTTTCTCTCCTACCTCCTTGTATATCTATCTTTCCCTGTGTTGTTCTCTACCTCTTTCCAAATATTTGGCTCTTTCTTCTCTCAAGATCTTTTAATACCATACTTTTTTAACTTGTCCAATCTGTCTCCCCCACCCATTTTCTGCCCACCTAATCTCTTGTATGTTCCCAGACACCCAAGAGCTGGAAGATTAGCCCTACTAGCAGACACTGCTATTAAGGTGAGGGGGAGGGAATGCACTGTAAAATAGCAATATCCTTGTACAGTAACGACTCCACTCTTGCTTGGAATAGAGGATGCTGGGATTACTGCCAAAATGCTGTCCTTGAGCCTTGCTTGGTGAGTCCATAGTTCTTATTAGCAGTCTGGGCAGTAAATGTCATTTTACTAGACAAAATGATCATATAGAGGCTTTGGACCTTACTTGAAGAGACATGTAATTATTTCAGACAACTTGTATACCAGAAAAAACCTCTCCTTTTAAGCAATGTTATCTCCTTATCTAACTGCAGAATTCCATGGTCCTTGGGACCAGGCTACCTATTTAACATGCCTAGAATGTGGAATTTAAAGAGAGCTATTTGGGCTTCCTCAGAAAATGACAGGACCATTTCAATAAGTTTCACTTGTACCTTTTGTAACTGTCTTTTATAATCATGTAATGCTGAAAAAACTGTATCAACAAAATAACCATGCCACAAAACCCTGTGTCTTCATAAAGACAGGTTTCAGAGTAACAGCCGTGTTAGTCTGTATTCGCGAAAAGAAAAGGAGTACTTGTGGCACCTTAGAGACTAACCAATTTATTTGAGCATGAGCTTTCGTGAGCTCATGCTCAAATAAATTGGTTAGTCTCTAAGGTGCCACAAGTACTCCTTTTCTTTTTGTCTTCATAAAGTTAGTATAAAATATAAGAGATGGGTGTCTCCGTATAGTTAAAAAACGATATTTACTGTGAGTTGTTAGCATTATGTGGACTGTGAATTTGGAGTGGCTATATTGATTTGGGTTTCGCTTTCCCTTGATGTGTACTGTAGTCATGCCTCACATTCTCCCTGCTTGTTGTTTGTCTTTTATCTCCATTTGGAAAATGTTTGGTATATGCTTCCTGTGGGTATCCTGTGCTTTCCCATTGTTGATCATGCTGCTATTTATAAATTCTGTTCTTAATTATTGAGATGGAAGAGAATTGTGTTTTCAGTCTACAGTACTTACATTAAATATGCATAAACCTACTCAGTAAAGAAAAGACAAATTGGAAGTATGTAGCCTTTCTTAAAGAATAAGTGCATAACTTACTAAGTCATCTCTTGATCTGTTAGTTAAGATGTAAAATTACATTTTTAGAAATCCTTTTTTAAACCTGATATACCATACGAGATCAGGGAAACTGACTTATAGAATGGACAATTAGAGATTTTCACCTCACAGGCATTTTAAATCTAACCGACGTTGTAGTGACCAGAGTTAATACCTGATAGCTGTGTTGTGGTTTAAATGAGATGAGTTGAGTCTAATTGCTGCTGAACAGCTGACTATGTTGCAAAAGCTGTTGCTACAGTTGGCACTCAGTGGTGTTGTCAGCAGAAAGGCTAGGCATTGAACACCATTTAATTTCTAGAAATGCCACCACAGGGTTAAGTGTGAGGCATGTTGGCAGAGCATTTTCAGCAAGCTCTACTGCCAGTGCTGTGTACGTTATGTGGATAAAGATAGAACTTCAGTTTCCAGAGACATCAGTCTAGCATTTTCCTTGCACCTAACCAAACAAAAAAAAACATCCACCGGCAGAGAATACGAGTAGACCAGTGCCTGAGGCCCCCACAATGGCAGGGAAACGAGTAAGTAAGAGACATTCAGATAATTCTGGCAAGTGACCCACACCCACATGCTGCATAGTGAACTAGATTATAGCAAAATTCAGTTTATAGTGGAGTAAGTCTTAAATTTTTCCAGTGAATTTCAAAGGGCTATGAGTCTGCTTGAATGAAGCATCACTTCACTTCTAGTAAAGTTTAACACCAGTATAATTATGCTAATTCCCTTATACTCAATCATTATTATCTGCCAGATACATGCTGCAGCACTTCCCCTTAGGGAGCGAAGATATGGACTTTTAGGAGGATGACACGAATGAACACCCACTTTTAGTAGACATCCCCAGTCGTCATAAACTCCACCATGAGTTTATGCACCTCCTAGCTGAGGAGCTAAAACTTGAATGTTGTTTTAGGCCTTCCCTTGGGAGATAATTTTAGAAAATACTTACACCTCTTGGTTTTTTTGGGAAAATATCCAGATAACAGGATAAGTTTGGGGCTTGGTAACTTTGATTATTCCTTTTGAAAATAAAACAAACAAAATCTGGTACCAATTAATTATTGTAAAGGTCACCAGTGAATGTGGTTCCCAGTTTGGAAGCTTATGTATTGATGAGATATAGATATAGATATGAGAGTGAGTGAGAATATGAATAACCAATAAGAATACTTTGAGGGTCAACTTAATGAGGGTCTACTTTATATGCTACACTACCATTGTGGGAACCGATAATCACAGATGTCTCTGACCTGTCAGAGGCAGACATCAAGACTGCACTGCTGAAGATAGCACCTGGAAAAGCAGCAGGTCCAGATGAAGTCATGGTGGAAATTATCAAAGCCTTGAGAGAGTTTCGTGTATGCTGGCTCAAGTGAGTCCTGTGTGCAGTTTGGAAAGAGAAGACACTCCCAAGAGAAGGAAAAAAGTCTATATTGGTGCCAATATACAAACAAAATGGTGACATATACATTCAAAGTAATGAGGAATTACATTGCTGTCCCATTGTATGAAGATGTTAGAGAGAATCATAGTCAAGGTTTCTCCAACAGTGGAGCCCATTTTAGGAAAGGAGCAATTTGCTTTTAGAAAAAGAAGAGGGACAACAGAACGATGTCATCAGGAGTGAAACCAACGTCTGTGATATCAAAAAGAAGCTGTAAGAGAAGAGGCTGAAATGGTATCGGTGTGTACAAAGAATGGATGAAGGGAATCTTGTTAGGGAGATGCTTGAGATTAGAGTACATGTGTGAAGAACAAGAGGATGGCCAAGAAAATGGTGGATGGATTGTATGTGGTAGGATGGAGTGGATACAAAGCAAGCATTGGACCAGCAAGCCTGGAAAAGACTGATGTGGTGATGCAGCCCCAGCTATATGGGAAAAGGGGAAGAAGGCAGGGATGGGGGGTATAATGAAGCAGTCCCACTTTGCACCAATAGATGTCTGAACTCAAAACTTCAGGGGCTTTCTCTATCCAGGAGGAAGAGACAGATCCCTTTGTATGTATAAATTGAGAGCGGTTTGAGTTACTTCATTTTCTGCATCATTGAACTGGAATTCAACAGAAACAGCTGACTTTGGGTGCAAGAGTGTACTCAAGTCATGTGAGCCAATATACTGCACAATAAATGAGCCAAATTTGAGTTGTCGGTGTGAAGACGGCTGGTACATAAACCACTGTGCTACTCAATCTGCTGTTCTTAAATATGCAATCTAAGGATATTTCAAAGTGAGCTTAAAAAAAACCTGAGGAGTACTTGTGGCACTTTAGAGACTAACACATTTATTTGGGCATAAGCTTTCGTGGGCTAAAACCCACTTCATCGGATGCATGCAGTGGAAAATACAGTAGGAAGATATATATACTCAGAGAACATGAAAAAATGGGTGTTGCCATACCAATTGTAATGAGACCAATTAATTAAGGTGGGCTATTATCAGCAGGATGGCCCATGTCAAACAGTTGACAAGAAGGTGTGAGTAACAGTAGGGAGAAAAAATTAGCATGGGGAAATAGTTTTTACTTTGTGTAATAACCCATCCACTCCCAGTCTTTATTCAGGCTTTGTTGCAAGGCTAGGTTCCTGGGTTAGTGTTTTTGTTGTGTAGGATGTGGTTGCTGTTGAGTATTTGCTTCAGGTTGGGGGGCTGTCTGCAACAAAGCCTGTTGCCAATTCTGTCCACATATCTATTCAAGGGACACCATCTAGTCAAGGGACATTAATCACATCAGCCACACCATAAGAGGCTCATTCACCTGCACATCTACCAATGTGATATGTGCCAACAATGCCCATCTGCCATGTACAGTGGCCAAACTGGACAATCTCTACGCAAGAGAATAAATGGACAC